TATATATATATATATATATATATATATATATATATATATATATATATATATATTCTTTGTCATTGCTCTATGCAGCTATTGGTTCTTTTTGCATTAATTTTCCCATGTTTAGAGTAGTGGCACAATACAGAAAATAGACTGCATTCATAGATAAGAAAAATCTCTGAAAAAAACTGCAGGGTGTAGGTGTGCACACAGGAAATAGGTAGGGGTCTCAATTTCCTTAATTTGTTCATACAGGTGCCTACTGACTGTAGTACCGTTAATAATACTAATAAAAAGGAAAATTGTGTAAGATTTGGATCAAGGATTTTCTCCTTTTTTTTTTTCTTTTTTTTTTTTCCGCCAATGGTTCTGAATATGCATGATTGTTTAGGAAAATTTCACTGACCTTCAGTAATTATGCCCTATAAGTTTCATAAGATTTATTACTTTTATATATGAAGTTCTCTTCATAAATGTTCTCAAAACTTTATCTGTAATTGGTGGTAAGGCAATTATTTCCTTTTTAAGGGTTCTATTGCAGCAAGGCAAGTCAAAACTGGTATGTTTTGTTTATTTTATTTCTACATGATTTTTTCTTTTCAATTTAAATTTGCACACATGCAAATAAAGCTGTTATTATAGCAGATGTTATCAGTTGGTCACAAATGATTCATTTAAAAATGTTAATTTCTTTATAGCATAAAATTGTTAACATAACAATGAATGTAAATTGTTCCAATTTTGATGTCCTGTGTTTAGTGTTCACAATAAGTAGTTTCCTGTGTTAAGCACATTTTTCAGGCAGATGAAAATATTGAATTTATACTTGTCTTGTAATTGGTTTTGGGTCATCTATATATGTATGTGCCTGTAGATTTTAAGTTTTACTCCAGTATTAATCTAGCCTCCTTTTTCCTTTTGCAAATGAACATTTATTCAATGTATCCATCAACATGTGCCTGTAGTATAGAAATGGAATACTTCCAGTGGCTGTCAAATGTGATGAATATGATAACAAGCTTTTTTAATTTGATATTTACTGCTTACTATTCTTTGTAATAAAGATCATTTCCAAAAGATGGTGTATAGGTTCCATAATAGTAAACTGTAAATGTTTTGACAGTTGGAATACAGTGTAGAATCAGATAAGAAAATTTATGAAATAAATGGTATTGCATTGGATATTTAATAGGAAGTACAAATTGAATATTTAGTCCTCAAAATTAACATGATCAAGCTTTATGAATTGTTCCAAACTCGTGACCCTGTGCCAGACAAGGATTAGTAAATATCTACTTAATTTCATGAGATAAAATGTTTTCAGTCAGTAGTTGAAGTTTCAACTCAGTTTTAAAAAAAAAAAAAAATGATTCTCTAGCTATAAGGTAAGCAACCAATCCTGAATTTGGAATATTGGTGTCAGTGTTCCAACTTTCATTTCTCTTTGGGTTTTGTTCTATTTAGTAAATGTCAAACTGACATTTGGATTTAAGTTTGTTTTTTCTTTAGAAAGGTTTTTTGTTTTTTTTTTGTTTTGTTTTTTCAAGGGTAATTTGTGTCTAAAGCAAGTAAACTTGCAAGTTTCCTTCTAAATTATGCTTTCAACTTGCTTTCACATTTCAGTCTTTGATTTCCCAATTTCAAAATCTAATTCCGGTTTTAACTAAGGTTTAGGTTATGTATTGCTCCCTTTTTCCATATGTAACATTGAATTTTTTTCTTCTTTTTTTTTTTTCTTTAAGCAACTTGTGGGAATTGATTTTAAAATCATTAAAATTGCTATTTAAAACTTACATAGTTCAGCCTTTTGTTTATTTTGTCTACATGACTACGGAAAACATGGTTTAAGTTAGACTCTTAAACAAATAAGTTTTTTGTTTTTTTTTTTTTTTTTTTTTGTCTCTAATATCTAATCTACAGGTAGTTCCTAAGTTTTTTTTAAACAGGATTTAAAAATTGTTGAATTAGTTATTGAAAAAAAATGACTCCATTTTAAACTTACATCTATTAAAAAAAAAAAATAACCCAACTTATACAGGACTGTAGGGAAACATTTTAATATTTGGCCAGATGTGAGGGAAGTGTTTATTGAAAATTTTTCACCAACATTTTGCATATTTTGCTTGCATAACAAAATTTAATGTTTCAATGTTTTGTTTTTTTTGTTTACACATCTTAGAATTAGCAGTATTTGATTCATTTGAGTTTGAAGCTAAAGAAAAGAGATACTGTATAATAAATATTTAAAGTAGAAGTCTTATTGATACCTTTATTTTTTCTTTATATATATAACTATACATATACACACTCAACACAGTTCTGAATATTCAAGAAAGGATGCTTGAAAGACTGCAGATAGAGTAAAAAAAAAAAAATCAATTTGAGGGGTCTTTCTAAAAAGTTATTTTGGGGATTGCTTTTCCTTTCATGCTCTTTAAACTCTGGAATGAAGTGTTGGGAGGGGGAATATAGAATACAGAGGCCATTTTGGGAATCTGAATGGCTAAGTAGGACTGTCTGTTTCAGATGTGGGTAGTTTTCATTGTTTGAAAATCTTGGATGGGTCTTGGATCTACTGTTGATCAGTTAGTACATATCCTCATGCCTCCTGCTTCCTCAAATTCTATAGATATTCTAATTGTCTAAGTTTTTAATAGAATGTAAAGCTAAATTCTCATTATGGCATCTTTTTAAAATTGCATTGTCTTCTGTTCGAAAAATTTTTTAAATAAAATTCAGTCTTGTAAAATAACTACAATTTTGATTTTGAAGGAGTTTAACAATTAAAAAAATTAGAGCTAAAAAGAGTTTTATGGTTTTGTTGTTGACCTTAATTAAGGTTCTCTCTCTCCCCCCTCCCTCCGTCCGTCCGTTTGTTTGTTTTTGTTATTTATCAATCAAGTCCCAGTTAGGGAATCTGATCTGAATTGTAAAATTTAATTGAATCTTTTGAGTGCTTTTATGAATGGGATATATTATGGGCATGATTGACACATATTTGATAATTTTTACAAGACTTTTATTCCCCCCGCCCTAATATTTTTTTAAATTTTAAATCTTTAAAATTCTGTATTTTTAGTGGTTAGGTTACATTAGGTAAAAACTACATCTACTAATCATAAATTGAGAAGCTTTACAATTTAGTGTTCCCCTCTCCCGCGCCGTATTTTAAATGTGTGCCAATTTTTGTAAATACAAAAATCTATACACAGCATTATCAGAAAATAAGAGTGGTAACTATATAGTAAATTTCGAAAAAATTATTGGTAATTTATTAACAAGACTATAAAGTCAAAGTACCTAAAAGATTACTTCGAATAATTTTCCCAAAATTTGAGTAATTTTAAAAAAAAAAAAAATGTGCTCATTACTGAAAAATGCCATACTTTAAGCTATCGATAAATCGATCAACACATAATAAAACACCTGTTAAAAAAGGTAAAATACTTTTCTGCGATATTTCAAACAAAAATGTTTTAATTCAGCTTAAACTTTAAAACAGTTAATCTCCCTAAAACCAAACTTTAAAAAAATATTTTTTAAATAGACAAATCTTGACAGATTTGTCAATATGGCCGATTTTCGAGATTTCAAAAAAAGATTTGAATCGATTTAAATTCGGCTTGAAATACAGCAAAGTATTTTGCTTATGGAAAATGTTAAATTTAAATCTATTATCTTTTTCTCCGAAAAGGTTTGTGTTTTTTGTTTTTTTTGGGGACCCAATTTTAATAAACATAGGCACTTAGAACAATGTTTTCTCAATTAAAAAATGATCACTTTTTAAACGTATCATTCGGTTATTGAACATTTTTACAGGTACCGCTACGAACTTCCTAAAAAAATAAAAATGTCTTTGAAGTTACATTTTGGTTTTATTTTTATTTTTTTTATTTTCAAGTTAATAGCCTCAACTATTCTGTATGTAAATATACATTCTTTTAAAACACCCGTGTTCACTCCTCGAAACGCCATTATAGACAGACAAAAAAAAAACAAATTTAAAACATTTCGGACAAATAGTCTTTTTTTATTTTTATTTTTTTCTTAAGTAAATGTAAGAATTAACTGCATTGTGTAAAAAAGAAAAAAAAATAATGAAAATAACATTTACGGCTGTTATCTGTATCATTCTTGCTGCTTTAAAGCAAGCAAAAAATCCAGCAAAATAAAAGTACGAAACACCACTGTATTTCGGTGGTGTATTTAAGAACAAATTAGTATTTGTTCTAAAATTTCTTTAACCATTTTTTTTTTTTATTTTGAATATAAAGTTTATTAAAATAACGAACTTGCTACAAAATAGCAGTAAAACTAAGTAGTTATGAAAACTCAAACACGCAAAAAAAAAAAAAAAAAAAATACACCCATGTCGGATTATTTTCGTAAGATTTCAGGACAGATTCTTTCATTTGATATTGGGGCGGGGGGGATCCTCAATCCGTTATTTTTTTTTTTATTTTTTTTTTTAATTATTCATGATGTATCGAAATGGGGTGGGGAGATAACTGGCTCCGCCACCGAAATATTTTTACAAGGTTTCCTAATAAATTTAAAATACAATTCTGTATACAATTCATTCATTAATAAATATGTAGTTAAAAAAAAAAATTCATTTAAATCCACTTCTTTATGTGTGTTGGTGTTTTGTGACATTCTTTTTAGCAATTTAAATAATTTGAAAGCTTTACGTTTTGTAATGACGAACAATTTATTTTTGGTTTATAGTTTGATCTCCATTTAATCTACATTGTGAGACGTTAAATTTTAAATGCGCCCACCCATTACTTTGCAGTTTGCGTTATTTCCATGAACAGTCGGCCATATTGGGGAGATAACTCTTTCTTTTTAATTTTACCTCCCTTGACTTATAAAAGACTGACGAGAGTTCTCTCCCTTGCGTCATCCAACTGTTTTCGGAGGGGGGTGGCACACACACACACACACACACACTCTTTCTCTCTCTCTTTTTTTTTTTTTTTCAATTGAATTAATCTTTCTTTCGTATTTTTCAGGGACTTCCTGTCATCTGGAACAAAGGTAATTCGTTAAAATTTTCTTAACTTCAGAAATGTTTATAAACAGTGGATATCTCATTACCGTGTCTGCATTAAAAGCCAACTTGTAAAGAGCACAAGAACTTCTTGACTGTGTTATACAGAAGATCTAATTTTGTAGTTCTCAATGAAATTTGTTAAATGTTCACTTAATATTCTTTCGATCCCTCAATTTAATTTCATTTATTTTTTTATTTTTTAACCACATTTTCTTCCTCCTCTCCCAGAAATGAAGATCCAGCAACATGACTCCTTGATATTGCTTTGAAATAAGCTATTCCTACTTAATGTTATAAAAGGCAATTTCCTAATAGAATAGCAAATTCTGTTACCCCTTTTGAATTTCAAAGCGATGATTTTCTTTTTTTTTTCTTTTTTTACAAACTTAGGTATATTTTTGCATGGATCATGGTTGTGAAGAGATTCTTCCCTATTTTATTTATATTTATTATATATATATATATATATATATATATATATATATATATGTGTGTGTGTTATATAATAAAGATTTTTCAATATATAATTTAAAAAAAAAAAAAAAAAAGTTTATGGAGGATGATGCTTTTTAAGAAATTTATATATATCCCCTAATGACTGATTTCTGCAAAGCCTGGAGTTAAGCTTTTAATTTTGATATTAATGCTCTTATGCATCACACTAATATGTGTGTAGAAAAAAAATATTTTCATCATTAGGCATGTTCAGAAGTTTCAGGTTCAAAAGGAACATACCTGCACATAAACATTTATGCAAAACGTTAGTGGATACCCCTTTTTGAGCAAATGTTTCCCCCACACGCTTTTCTTTCTTTTTGCCTGTGCACCTGAAGACTTAAAGAAAATGTGCTCTCTGGCATGATTTAAACCTGTGTCCCTCTTTGTAAAACTACTATCTGATCTAGCATGCTTTTAGAGCATCCTTGTCCAGCAAGATTTTATTCCCCCTTTTATTTAGGAATGCACCAAGCCCCCCACTCTTCTATTCAGATGTTCTCAAATTATATTTGCTCAGTTTTGTCTCCAAAATGTAAGCAAAGCCATTTTTAAAGAGTTAATGGATTTATTTTTGATCAAAGATCTTTTATCACTAATGTTATTTTTAGTGGATACCTGTATTTAAGTAGGCACCACTTTTTGCTTATATATATATATATATTCCTACATGCTTATTGTTTCTACAGGTCTGTACATTTGAAGTAATGAGAAAATGTCAAATAAATCCATTATATAAAATTTGGAGGTATTCAGTTTCTCTCCTCCAACAAGGAAAGGAAAACAAAAACAATTTGAATTAGGGAGTTCCTTTGATTTGCTAATCTGCATATTGGGTTCTTGTCAAGTGTCGGTATATATGCTCATTTTCAATGACTTCATAAATTTTATTTTTAGAATAGGTCTGTAACATTTGGAAGAAAGACCAGTTTCTTTAAATTTGATATTTTTAATTAATTGCAGAGTAAGCTGCTTGAAGAGCAGGAAATTCATAAATGTTTTTCAAAATAAAATGTCATGTTTGTATGCAACCATTCAACCAAGACAAATTTCATATAGCAAACAAGTTCTTTTCAACACTTTGCATCTGTCGCCACCACTATTTGTGATCTTTACTCCACAAGGTATCAGATCTCTCACTCTCACACTAACACACACACACACAATATGTCCCTGTGTTCAAAGGACTGTCTAGGCATGGGCAGCTGTCGACAAAATATTGTAGCTCCAGTCACATCCCTCCTTGAGTTCTGAATAAAAGGTTGTGCAAAATGTTATGAGCTGTAGGAAGAGAAAGAGTTGGTTATATTGTGTAGTTGATATGTTTTCCTGAGTTGACCTTCCCTTTTTCTGCTATAAATGTCAGGTCAAAACTGCTCTCATTCTCTTGTGTATGTATAGGTGTATCATAGATATTTGGTGAAGTTTGTTCGGACTTCAGTTTTGTTGCTTGACTTAGGTTTTTCCCACAACCACAAACATTTAATTTGCTAAATTTTGCACAAAAATTTGTACTTTGGTGGATGCAAAGATTTCCACCAAATCCTCTTCTATGTAAATGAAACTGCTTTTCTACTGTTTTCAGTCTACCCTCTGTTTTTATATGCAGACATGGGGGGGGGGTACGTGTGTGTATGCGTGCGCGCGCGCGCACACACACACACACACACAGTTTTCTTGACCTTTTCATTCATCCCCCCCCCTCAAAGCAGCAGGCATGCCACCCTGCCTAGTTGGTAACTTTCTCTCTTCATTTTATGGAAGTCTTCAGTATTTATGATTAATGTCATGAATAGTTACTAACAGGCAAACATAAAATAAGCAGTTTTGTCATGGCAAAAAAGATAAACTTCTATTATTCGAACTGTCCATTGATGGTAAATTTCTGGGGCCAGTTTGTCACTCTGGAGACTTTTCTCACACTACTGACTTACTCATGTAACATGAAACTTCTCACACTCCACAGCTGAATGCCTTAATTATGTCAAATATTTAAAAAAAAATAAGTGAATAAATAAAACTCCCTTTCACTAAGTCTGTTAATATTCATTTCCTATCAGCTATCACTTGTACTTAACCCATGAATTATCCCCCCCCCCCCCTTGCTTAGTGGAAAATGAACTTGGCAGTGGTGTTTTTTTTTTTTTTTTTTTTTTTTTTTTTTTTTTTTTTTGTGTATGTAACCTTTTGAGCATTCATTTACTGTTTTGTATTCAGCTCTTTAAAATCTTGCCATCATATATCATGCTGGTTGACTTTTTCCCTAATATATTCTTAATTCTTGGTCCCAATTTGCTTTCACAAAAAAGTGGGGAGGTGATACTTGGTTAGATTTTGCAGGGTCGGCCAGGTCAAGCACAACCCTAGAAAGAAAAAAATTTGTGTACATATATTTGAAGATTTTAAACTGTCACTTTCAATGGATTTTGTCTTGTTGAGGATACGAAGCTTATTAAAATAATCATTCTCCATGCACATAGTTTTAAATATAAGCAAAGCAATATGGATGGATGGATGGATATATATTATGAAAGCAATCTTAAAACTTCTTGTCTACATTGGAAACATTTATGTTTGGAAAGCATCACATGAAGACATTTCTGTATCTGGATGTTAACCACTTCTTTACAATAAATTTACTAACGAGAGAAAGAACATTCTTTTTGAAGCTATTATTTTGTTATACGAGTAGATTGTATCACTATCCTTAAACAATAGCTTACAATTAAAAGCTTAATGTTAAGTGCTTTCTCTGAGATTACAACTGTCCTGTTACTTTTCTGCAATACAAGATTTTAAAAAAAAAAAAAAAAAAAAAGTGTACATGCACTTCACACATCCCAAAACAACTTGATGGGGATTGTTCCATATCCTGATCTGTGTGTTGAAAGCCATCTATCTGAAAACATCTGTCTATCCCTTGACCTAAGTTTCTTCTTCTCCCCCACCCCATTTTTCTTTTTATTTAAATTGATATCTATTTTAAAGTTAAAAATAAAAGTAATAACTTTTTTTATATACAAGATATAGAAAAACCTTATTCATTTTTTAATAATCACAGCCTGACTTTTCTTTCAAAGATAGCTTTAGTATAAAAATAGGAAAATGCTTATGCACTTTAAATTGAATCTAAACTTTTGAAGTCAGATATTCAATTGAGCCAATTGTATATTGGCTATACATAATTTCCGTTAAGTCTAGTCTTCCTTCATCTCAGCCTCATTAATATCACTTTGCCACTGTGAATTAGTCTTTTGTCCTGAATAGTTTAGGATTTGGTTGGCCACACTGCTGCTATCTTGCTCTGACCGTCATCAACAACAGAATATTGGAAAATGTCAACACATCATATAAAAGCAGCCAAGTGTTCCATTTCAGCTGCTCTGGCCTGACACTGGAGCTATTAGACAATGAAATCAGCATCTCTTTTTAAATGTCACCTTAACAACTCGTAATATTGTTTGTAATTGCTATCATTAGTGCAGTGGTCACTAGCATGGTGGTAGTGGTGAATAAATATCAGAAAAGCAGCCCAGGAATTGGGGTGGAGAGAAGCTTCCAGGGAATGGGATGGTGAGCAGACCCAGCAGCTCTGCTGGATGAAGTCAAGTTCTCCTATTTAAGTTTAGCGATGGTAGGAGTTAACTCTTGCTACTATTAAGGGTGGGGTTTGCTGGCAACTACTACTTTGCATTTTTTTTTTTTTTATTATTATTATTATTTTATGACTCTGCACTGTCAGCTGTGTCTTTCTTTCTGTGGACTCAATTATATTATCCAAATACTTAAAGGTCAACAGGACTCCCTCTCACCCATCCCTCCCTCCACATTCTATCCTATGCTAAGTGTATATATCAAATAAATTCAACTTGAAACAAATACCCTAATTTTGGCTTCCTCAACTGAGAAGTGCTTCAATATTCTCCCCATGCTTGCAGTTTTAAAAAAATCTATTCCAAAATGGTCATTAAAAGTAACTTTTGCAAGCTATAATAACATGATTGACACCTTATTTACAGCATATCTGTACAATTTGAACTATGTAATCAATCTCCACTCTATCATACCAGCACATTACATTTATGTAGATCTTTCATCAAATATGCAGTAAAAAAGTTGTTTTTTTTTTTTTTTTTTTTCAATATTTCATATTCTTTGTATCGCCTTTTCTCAGTCAACCCCTATAAAATTCTAGGGTAACAGGATTTTGAATATTAACTATTAGATTTTATATATGAAATGTGACAACTATTATGAAAGTTAGTTTTAAAAGCTGATGGGATAATTGACAGGTTTAAGTGAACCAAAGAAAAACTAAAATTTTACCAAATTTCCTAAATGTTGTTTTAATTTTTTAGGCTACCCCCCTATATAGTGCCTAGTCCATTAACATTTAATTTAGAAGCATACAAACTAAATTGGTATACTGTTTCTTTACTTCAGCATGAAGCCTCCAAAGAGTGAGACAAAAAAAACGTTAGGTATGAAAATGTGTTGTGCCAATAACTTTTCGGTACTCCCATCGTCCAAAGAAATCATTGCTACAAACACCAGAATTTCAATAACCCTTTCATACATAGACATCATAAATTCATCCAACTTGGACTTTTTTTCCTCTTCCTTGATTTTTCCATTTTACTAAGTTTCGCTTTGTTTTCAAAATTATGAAGTTTAGAAAATTTTCTGATAAAACTTGTTTCGGTGAAGAGGAATCGCATAATATGAAAATGTTCAGATTTTAAAATAAATAAAACCTTGCATATTAAACCCGTGTTTGTGTGGGGGGAGGGGGTATCAGTTATTTATATACACACTATATATATACGCACACACACACTGATTTTCAGTTAGTTATTAGATGCTGTTAAAAAAAATATATATATTTTTTCCCTTTACACTAGAGTACTTGCCATTCTAAATTCTGTATTGTCTGATACTATTAAAAGTGAATTTTTCTAAATGGATTTTATTTTAATTTCATTAGTGTCCAATGCACTCTGTTCGTTAAAGCTTGCTTGCCAATTTCCGCTATTATTGTTCAAAATGGGAGAGAGAGAAAAAAAAAGTTAAACTAGGATAATAGAGGAAGAAAAAAAACATCCCCCCCCCCGAAGAATATTGTTAACCAGCCAATATTCTTTTGTCAGAATTTTTCTAGGAAAATTTGACTTTGCATTTGTTCAATAGGTTCATTTAGTCTTTTGTAATTAGTGTATATTTCCCTTTTTTTCATTTTTATATTTATTAGACCTGTTCTGAACCTACTACGTCCACTTTCATTTTCTCTTCTTTCTCCCTTTGTAAATCGATCAATCAATCAAACAACTTCAACCTGATATTCATATATTACACCTAATTAGTTGCTGGACTTTTCCTTTTTTCTTAATGATGACTATTTAAAAATGCAACGACTATATTGCATACTCAGTTTACACTGTCTCCTCCCTTGATATTAATGAATATTAAATTTAGAATATAAAATTCCCTCATGGTGTACGCTATGGTGGATGTGAAATAAAAAAGGCTGGAAGGAAGAGAGGTTAGGGAAGACTTAATATCTCTCGAAAAGCCCAACCCTTGTCTTTTCCCGCCTAAATGTTTTCAAAAATGTTTATAAGGGCGGTTGACGCTTTTCACTAGATTAGATGATTCTGAATGGAATCAAACCATGTGTGACTGCTGAAACAAAACTGATGACCTTTGACATTTTCTTTTGTCAGCCAGTAACATGCTTGACCAATTATTTGATGGGAACACTAGTTGCTAACTCTTCCCCCTTCTCTCATCAACCTCTCTTGGTTTCTCTCGTATTCATTCTTCCTATGCCTCCTAACGGGTTCGGTCTTGCTTTGTAAATCTCGTGTTGTAAATATTTGAATAGGAGACTACTTAATCTATAGTCCATTGGTTGACAGCCTCTGTTGGAAGTGTAGGCTTTTACCATGCAAATGGGCAATTGTTGTGTTTTACTTTAGGAAGCTTGTAGCTAGTGTCATCTAGGCAGCAACTGCCTCACTGTGAACGAATGAGTGAGGGGAATTAACAGTCTGTGCGCTTTAATAGGACAGATCTGGTGACAGATTCGCAGTCAGTCAGTCTCTCTCGGCGCTTTGTCAGAGTGCGTGTGCTGCCCACAACCTGTTTGTTGATTTCTACCTAAATACTGGCTGGCCTTATCCATCGTAGCATGATTTAACGAGTTTTAATCTCCTGAGATGTATTTATGCTGGTATCCAACTTACAACCAACCTCCAATACATGTGCCTACCGTGCCAACCTTACCGCCAGTTCAGCCACCTCCTCCACCTCCCCCCAGTGATATTATTGTACCATTACAGTTTGGAACCGAACAAATTTTCCCAATCAGTAGGAAGGTGAGTTTAATCTTTTTTATTTTTTGTTTACTTGTTTAAAAATGATTGTCATTATCGTCCGTACTTTGTGTAGATACAACCACCAGTTTCGTCCTGCCAGTTGGACTGTTGGCCTGTCCACTTGCTGGCTACTAGGCTGTTAAAAGCTTTTAAATCAATATTAACTGATATAGAAACCAGTTATTTTTCGGGTTGTTTATTCTCCATCTCTTACACTTTATTCGTGCAACTTTTTTTTATCCGTTTTCTTTGTGACTCGAATTTCGAACACGTGTGTAATGAGGGGGGGATTATTTTTCATTTAAATTTAACTTGCTAATATTAGTTCTAGGAACGTTTTTTCATGTGTACTTTTTGTATTGATTTCTTTAATGGATGAGACCCATCAACTTAAATATTTTCTTTTCTCAAATAAAATCTGAATGTTAGGCACAATCACGTCTTAGACGTGTGGGTGAATGTCTGGAATATTCAATTTGTTTGGAAAAAGATTAATCTGGTTTCTCGTGCGCGCGAGCTGAGGACAGTAACTTTATTTCCCATAGTCTCCCAAGCAAAAGTCGAGGCCTTGATTTTTGTCTATCGCATAAAAGAACCAAACTTGTAATCCAACTTTGCTCTTCGTTTGCTGCGAATTATGTATAAAAAGAAAATAAATTTGCTTAGCACTTATGCAAAACTTAAGGCTAATTTTGACAAGTTTCTCGATTTTTTTTTACAAACCTTAGCTTTGCTGAAGTGTTATTGAGATGTAAGGGAAATAACTCTTAATATAAGGTATTTTTTGATTTCTAAAATATTTAGCTACGCAAATCTAAAACTTCTAACTAGCAATGATTTATGGGTCGAGGTATTTTGAATATTGTGGTCCTCTTGCGTACATGAAACTGCAGGTAAAAGTATGAAAAGTATGAGCTTCAGAATTTTTAAATTGAGATTAGCTAGGTAATTTCTGAATGTCCTTTGTATGGCTGAAAAATGATGTAATATATATTTAAAAATTTCTAGTATCGTTTTTACTTTAGAAACATTTTTGCCAAAATTAATTTCTTTCTTTTTTTTTTCCTACAAATCTGTACATAATTCTGAGTTTATCATTTATTTAGTGATGAAAGCCATTCAATTTACTGGCTGAACTGATATTGGAAAGGACGTCTATTGTTTCTGTCAATGCTTAAAAATGTTAGAGCTAGGGGAGGGCTACTTGCTTGCCACAGCTGTGTCTGTCTCCACTGTCCATATGGTGACTGAACAGGAAACAATAGGCAGCATGTGTTGCAGCTGATATGATGTCCCACTCCTCCTCGAAGCTGTTGCCTCTCCCTATCCCATTTATTTCTCTTCATAGCTAATCATAGAATGACCAGCAGCTATAGACTTCTTACCTTTCTCCATCCTGTTTAACTCTCTCTCTCTCACACACACACACTTTCTACAGGAAACTTTTCTTGCTTTTTAGAAGCTCAGGCCTTCCTCACAAACAAAGCCACATTTAAAAAAATAAAATAAAAAATTCATGCCCTTTTTGATTGAGTTCTTAAACTATGAAATCAACCTCTTCGTGTATATGCAGGACGTTGTAAAATTGTCGGTTCGAAACCCCCCCCCAAATGTTTGAGAATTGGGTCAGGCTGAAAAAATTTCAGCACCACCGTAAATACTGCAGTTACTTTCTCACTTTTAAACTTTCCTCTAGCGAAAGGGCCTTTTGCATTATAAATTTGGTAATGTTATTGATTTAAAAAAAAAAAAACAGGATTTACTTTCATAATTCGCATATAAGCTTTTCATTGATATTATTAAATTTTTTTTTTTTTTTTTTTTTTTCTTCTCACATTAGACTTTTATTCAGTGAACGTTTCCTCAAGGGGGATCACTCAACTGTTTCTATGTAAACATTAGTTTCTTAATTTCTGTTTTGGGTATTTTGTCCTTCAAGCTTGCATGAATATGACTGCTTTCTAATTGTTTAAAAATGCTCAATAGTGTATTTTTACGTACCAGAACTAAAATTTATTAATCTGTTAGGAGTGGAGGAAATAAATCGCCAATATTCTTATTGCGATTTTCAAGTATTTTTAGTTTTTGTTGCTTACACAGGGTATCCGGAGTGTTACTATAATTTTTCTTGATCAAAATTTAATTAACCTATATTAAATTATTTGGTATTTTTAAGTGACTTCATAGTTGAATCATGCATGACTTAACCTGTGCTATGTTTACACTAAATTATAGTTTCTAATTTGTTAAATTGATTTACTACTTAAGCATTTTATGATAAAAATGCTTAACAACACGGCCTCTTTTCTTGTTGGCAAGATTTTCCTACGAACACATTCTCATAGCTTAATTTGTTTATACATTCATCACTATTTGATTATCAAAAATTATACCCACTAGAGACATGTTATTTTACTTGTGTGCCGGTTTGTTTGGATTTGAACTTTAATATTTTCACGGATACCTGCCATCACTCTCGGTATTTGAATATTTTATGCACTAACTCAAAACTAAATGTGCCGGTGAGACATTGCCCATGCTTTTCATGACTTTTTGTAAAGGTCAGCTGTTCCCTATCGGCCATTATTTTAATGTCTCTAGTTTTACTTATTACGTCAGAAATATTTCCTATTCGCCTTTTAAAACGACTTTATTACGTAAAACTTGAAATGTCACGTTTATTTTTATTTTTTTATTTTACGCCAAACGTATTACCAACTCACTTAAAGAATTATGCAGCAGTTTCTTTTGCTTCTATCACCCCCACCAATCCAGGTCAACTTTAATTCTACTGGGTGATTTTTTTTTTTCTCTCTCTTCTTTCCTTCCAGTCAAGACTACTCGAGTTGTACGGAACTAAAACAAAAAACCTTCTCAAACTCTTAGTTTATTCATTCATGCTAGTTTGCCTAAGTCTTACCAAATTTTTTTTTTTTTTTTTCCCCAATTTTTTATGAAATAGGCAATTTTCTTTTTCTGCTTGGCTTGTGCCTTTTTGGCACTAGTTACATCTTCAATATCATTAGAATAGCATCTAAACTTGAATACTGAATTTCAAAAGGGATGGAGGGGGGGTTCTATTTCTCGCAAATATTTTCTAGTCTAACCAACCAGCTTTCCCTCTACGTAACTCTATATTCATTTAATTGCTCTTCTCGCCTCTCCTACTCTAACGAAATACTGAAAAGAAAACAAGACCGTCCTTTTACATAAGTTTACAGTAGTTTCTCTATGGATATGTGACCTATTTTCTATTGGTTTATCTCTTAATATAATTTTTCCTCTTATCCATAATATCTTATTTTTATCCAGCTAGCGGGCGAGCGAAATGGCTGCTTGGAGGGTTTGTAGCTTGTTTTAAAATGGCTACCACAACTGCCTCTTCCTACTATTACTCTTTCCTGCTACTGCTGGATTTTCTATTCCAGTGTCAAGAGGAAAGAAAACTTTACTCTTGTGTTTCCACCACTACTGTATGTGGAAGAAACAAACTGTCCCTAGTACTATATTTCTAGCTGAGTCATTCAGCCATGACTCACTCTTCGGGACAGTAAGCCAATATAAAGAAGAATGAAGCGAGCGGTCTTGAAAAATACTCCTGCGAATGTAGCTTTTCTTTGTGATCACTTTTTCTCTCTCTCTCTCTCTCTCTCTCTCTCTCGCACTCTGCTTTTGTGTGTATGTGTTTCTCTCCTCCCCCTCTCTTTGCTATTGTTGTTAGGGCTACTCCAACCACTATTGCTGTTAGTTGCTTTGTACTAAATTTAGCTGCTTCCTCCTCCCTTTTCTTCACGTTATCCTCCTCCCTCTTCTTCTTCCAAGCTGCTACGATTCGTTTGTGTCGTCTTGAGAAAAAAAAAAAAAAAAACTCCTTTCCCTAACCATTTGGAAAGTAGGGTAGTAAAAATTTTTAGGTAAGCTCACTACTTCATCCAAGTTCATGATTGTTTTCTGTTTCTCTCTGGCCAACGTTTAATTTTTTTGATATCTCTGCACGAACAAACGTTCCTGGCAGTGGTCTTTCCTTAAAAAATATATAGCTATCCTCTCGTTTTTTGTGAGTTTTTTTTTCTCTCTTAAAAAAAAAAAAAATAATTTCTTTTTCTTCTGTTTTTTTTTTTGTTGTTGTTGTTGTTGTTTTTGTTTTTTGCTTATGGCAGTTTTTGCTTCCTTTTATCGTTGTCCCTTTGTTCATATTACCCGTGTTCAGTCTCTTCTGTCCTTCTGCACTGTAATTTTCTATGGTTATGCACCCCCCCACACACACACTTTAACCTCACTTTTCTTTCGTGCAAATACAATCCTACACCAACGAACGTAGAAGGGGGGAAAAAAACTGCTTTAACGTATCTTGATTTTATTCCATAACGTAAGGCTGTTGTCTCCGGCTTGATACGCAAGCCTTTACTCATTCTTTATGGCTATTACAAATATAAGCAAAGCTAAACGTCTTGCATTAAACTTTACATAGAATTAGTTTTGCTCATAATAAAATATTTAAGAAAACTGACCAGTCGTCATATTTCATTTCTCGTATTTCCTGTTGACTCCCTCCTTCCTCCATTTTGCGTATGTTAGAAGCTTATCCTCCTACCACTACTCAGTTTCGTCTCTTCCTTCCACTTAGTAATTTGACTTTGTTGAATTGATCAATAAATGATAAAGTATGATTAACCTAAGGTGTGGAAGCTATCAATAGTCCAAATCTAGGTTATACTGTTGCTTGTGTTTGCTAAAGCATGTGCCTAATCATAATCCCTTATGTTTCTCTACCCACACCCATGCCCGCTGGTACAACACCGTCCTTATTTATAATAAGCAGGTTCACCTTTTAAAGACACTTTTTTCTTAGTCACTAAAACTTAATTGTTTTCTTTTAATAGGTTGACTCTCAAAGTAGACTTATTTAAAAATGGACATTAATTGTTGTCTTTGTTAAATCTCTTATTAGTGTGTATATATATAATATATATATATACACGCACACACACGACAATTATGTGATGATTTACATTCCATGAATTTATTAACTACAGAACTAGTAGGGGTAGATCACTTACCCAAATCTTTTAAACTGGTTAGCCATTACTTTTTTAATATTATCCATAGTTAGCACCTATGATTATACTTAAAATAAGAACACAAGATTATTTTTGCTAACCGTTTGCCATACTATTAGTATTTAAACTATTCATGAATGTTTATCCCAAATTTGGTTCCTATTACTCCTGCTGCTGCAGCCGCCAACTGGGCCCCCTCCCATATTTGATTTCATTCTAGAGATGTCCATTTTATCAAGTAACTAACAACACTGACCACTCAACTTTTTATCCATACTTGATTTCAGAGAGGATCGGACGAACTTATGTCCCACAGCCCAATGGTTACTAACGGGACTGGAATGAGCCCTCACCACGTGGATAGCGCTGAGATGAACAATGATGCCAAAAAGGTATTTTTTCAATTCTCAGATTTACTGGAATATTTGAAATGTACAAGTAATTTTCTTTTTTTGAAGATAACTAGGGAAGTCTCCAACTAATATATTTCAATTAACAATCTCTGCTAAATTGAAATTAATCAAATTATACAAAAGCATGAGTGCCTATTTAATATTTTGCTTATATTTTTCTTTTATAATTTGCAATTAAAATTTGATTTTATGGCTTTTGTATACATGAAGTATCAGTTTTACTTCATATGCAATATAGAATGGGTGTTTTTTTTTGTTTTTTTGTTTTTTTTACTTGGTTCTGTTCAAACAACTAATAGCTCTTAATTTTATTGAAGATTAACTGCTTCAGTGAGTAGTGTTAAAAAAAAAAAAAAGGTCCCTACATCTATTTGTATAACTTTCTTATGAACATTATGAAAGTGTATATATTGCTTATATTTCATCCTTTTGTTGTAAATATTCATCAGCTGAAGATTTTTTGCATTGTTTAAGAATGGCCTTTCTTCCTCCACAAGCAGAGCACCTGATTATAAAACTAAGATCTTTGCATAAGTAACAAATTTAATTTCTTCTGCTTTTAAGCAAACCATAAGAAGTTACCACTATTTTGCTAGTCATGTTTTAATAATGTCTTTCATAGTCCGATCTAAGAGAAAAAGATTATTTCTAGATTGATGACAAAGAGCTTCTCGTGTAAGCTTTTGGGCAGGTTTAAAAACACTAATGGCTACAATCTAGACAGACCTTCTGCCTAAACCTTTTACTTTGAAATAAAAGTATTAAGCAACTACAGATAACCCAGGGTGATGTACCAGCAAGGTTTTAATTATTGGTTCTATAAACTCATTTATTTGCACAACTTCATTCAACTTTTATTTACTGACTTGCAATTCTGTGAAAATTGTATACCCCAGTCATCCATTACAGTGACTTAGGTTGGCTTCAAATCTTCTAAATAATTCTTGTGTTGTTGACTACTCTACAGATGTGACGACATATCAATAATATATCCCATCAGTTGCATCAGGGCAATTATTACTTTCACTATCTTCAAATTGTCATTCATTGACAAGTGATTAAAATGGTGAAAACTTTTTGTTGCAAATCACTTACTTTTAAAGTGTTTCTTGATGCTTCATTCACCGATGCTACTTTGGGTTCAAAATTATGAAATCTTTCTCTTAAATCAATTTAAGCTTTCTCAAATCCAGTAACTTATTGCTTTTTTTTGATAGGTTCCTCCTTCCTAACTTTTTTTTATTTGAAGTAATGTGGAAAATCGCATTTTGATTGTCATTATTTCTTGGAGTTATATGTGCTATCAATTTTAGTTGCAGTTTCTATTATTTGATACAGTTCTTTGATTCTGTAGTGCCAATTCACAAAAGTTCAAAGAAAGGTCCTTAAGATCAAAATTGTTAGCATTTACTGATTGCAGGATAGGAACAAGATATTATATATGTAAATGTAGGGTCTATATGACCCATTTCTGAAAATATGGACCTTTTTTTTCTCTCACACTCTCTCTCTCTCTCTCTCATGATTTGCTCATGAAACAATTTTTCATCACTACATGTATAAATTGCATCAGTTGAATTTAATGAAGTGTAAGATCTATTTCATAGACTAATATTTTTTTTGCCTATGCCACAATGGTAAATTCAATTGCAAATAGACTGGATATTTAAGAGCTGATATAGTGGTGTTGACACTTTAAACAAGTGATTGTGCCACAAATACTGGGTTAAATTATTGGCCTATGGGTTGCTGTTTAATTTTGGTGCCAGAAATTGGTATTCAATGATTTCTTTCCTATTGTCAATCTTTCCCTCCCTCTTTAACATCCACTTATTGCCACTAACCATTTACATTTGACAATTACAGGTTGTTGATCTCTCCTTATTATTCATCTACTACCTTTTCACTAAACTCCAAAGTAGGCGGCTTACTTTACTCATTATTTAGCTTTTCAATAAGACATTAAAGGAGTAATTTTCATTGGATCTGCTTGGCTGACAGCAGGACTGGGAAGATTAAATGGGCAACTATCGATGGCACTGTGACCAGTTGTCTCTCTCTCTCATTATATATATAATATATATATATATATATATATTCAGTCTCTTGAACATTGAACTTGCTCTGTTTAAGCATAATTCTTTCTAATACAGCAATCCAGTAACTTTTTCATATTACTAAGCTTGGATTTTCTCATACGTAGTGGTGTTCCATTCCATCAAGTCACCATAAAAAGCATGTGGTAGTGCTTGCTGTATGCCCCTACATGAATTTGCTATGCAATTTTCTTTATGAACTTGTGGCTTAGGACAATATGATGCTGATCTCTCCTTACTTTCCATCTACTGCCTTTTCATTTTATTGCAGAAGAGAAGAATGAGTTTTGATATTACAAGAGTATAAGATATTTATTTCTCTCTGATGGAATTGTGTTTGGGTCTAAGGAAATGTAACATTTCTTAAGAATAATGAAAATTGTTGTACCTGCTACAAGGCAAGGGGTGGTCTTTGCCAGCTTCTGTCCACCACACACACACACACACACACACACACACACACACACACTTTATTTAATCTGATTAAATACCACTTCCAAAATAGTATGGTTTTTGAAAAACACTAATTTTGAGATGCCAACTTACAAAAGTTTCATGAGGCACTGGAAGTTCTACCTAAGCTACTAGGTTTAGGGAGTGTGGGTGTTTGCTGATTTCAAAAGGTGTTATCTAGTCAATTACTTAGATAGGCAGGGGTCTTTTTCTTATTTTGGCCACCATATACTCTTTCCAGTTATACTCGTAATTTTAACAAATATTTCCATTTGAAACTATGCAGGCTAGAGGCTAGCAAGATTTCACTTATCAATTTGATAATAAAATGTCACCTTCCCAAGTTCAAGCATATATTGAAAAAAAAATTTTTTTTCCCCGCTTTATTAGGTGAAACTGGAACAGAACCAGACCACCCCTGTATCTAAAGTCGTTCATCTTCGTGGCCTACCAGGAGAGGCAGCTGAACAAGATGTAATTCCTTTGGGCATGCCTTTTGGACACATTACAAATTTTTTATTGCTTAAACAAAAAAATCAGGTAAAGTATAATTTTTGTGAACATTAAATTGCATTTTGAAAACAAATGAATTTAAAAATGCTGCTCTTTCTGAACCTAAGGATGGCAATCTTCATTTCAACTGGGATACGTCGTCGTTCTCACTTTACCAAATGGAACAGATCAAACAATGTAACACAATTCTTTTGATTACATGAAATAGCATGCAGCCTATCAGTTTTTGTATTTTAATGTGTTTTGTAATCTGTTATTCACTAGGCTTTTATGGAATTTGCTGATGAGAGACAGTCTGAATCTATGGTCCTATATTATACAAATGAAAAACCCAAAATTCGCAATAAAGATGTCTATGTGCAGTTCTCTAACCATAAGGAATTGAAGACTGACGTCCAAAATCCTTATCAAGTAAGTATTTCAGATTTTGATAAGTTTCTTTTTATACAATGAAGTCAATTTGTCTAAATAAGTTAAAATTGAAATGCAGATCTTTTTATTTTATATTTTTTTGACATACCAAATTGTCATGTTTCAATTTTAACATGCATTTCCTTATTTTTGATTCTATGTCACCGGATGGAGACCCCCCCCCCTGTCTGCATTCTCTTGATTAGACTTTTTTTTTTTTTTTTATCTAAACATATTTCACCTAGACTGCCATATATTGAGTGAATATCCATTATATTTTACTGATATACATTTGTTCGAGGCTGACTTCTCATCTATGTTGGCATAAGTTTTTCAGGGGGGCATTCCATAATATTTGGGAAATATTAGGTACTGATATCTAAAAATAGAATGTTATGCTCTGCATAAATGGGGGATTGGGAAAACATTGACAAAATGTTAGGCATTGTGATGTAGTAACACTCAATGTCAGTGCAGTCTCTGATCATTAGGTTGTGATGCCTCCTACAAAATGGTGCATTATTTTGAGATGTATCAAATTGTGTGCTCTTTCAAGAGGCTGAATGTTATACTTTAAAAAAAAAAAAAAAAAATTCCTGGGCATATTGGTTCTACAATTGGGTTCTGTTCAGTCATATTTTTCAAGGATGTATTCACTCACCATACAAAAGAACCAATCCTAGATGTCTTGGTCTGGAGTTCCATGTTACTACCAACATGTGTTTGATTGGGATGTGAACATTGGCCAATACAATGTATGCTAAGGATTTTTTTTTTTTTTTTTTTTTTTTTAAATGACACTCCCCCACCTTGTACAGAACTAGATAGGACAGTACTGAACTCATTCAATTAACACACCTGCAACTCTTGATGTATTGCATCTACAGGTACAAGAAGCATATTATGATGTATAACATGATAATGTTCTCCATCTGCATATTTATATGCATGTGAAAGCACAAGCAGCATATAAGTACTGTTGGTAGTCATGTTATTTTGGAACCTGTGCAAGTGTTCATTTACTGTAATACATTTCTATTGTCAAAACGTTTCACCTTGAATCACATTTCAGTATGTTGCAATTTTATCTTGGTCTATTTACTAGAAATCTCTCAAGTTTGAACTAAACGACAATGTTGGTACTTACAGGAGCTTTATCAACAAGGTGTTTTGGAAAAATTCTTGGTTCAACCAGGAAAGAATTTAAAAAAAGATCTGATATCATATTTCAGGAAGTGGGTTGCCAATAATAATTTTTGAGTATCTTTATTTCCTGATTGTATAATACTGCCCAAATAAATTTTGTAGTAATATGTACTTGGATTGTGCTTCTAAAACTTTGAAACATTTTTTGTTTTCAGAATACAAATGCCCAGGCTGCTCTGCAAGCTGCACAGGCAATTATGGGCAATCCTGATGAAATGGCTAAGACTATTCTCAGAGTTATCATTGATAACATGCTATTCCAGATCAACATTGACATTTTGTGTCAGGTAAGATGCTCTTCTTTCAATTTTTCATTTCTACAATCACCTCAATACCCACTCTGGCAAATTAGATTTTGATATGAAACTGAAATTTTACTTCAAGTTAGTTAACTGAGAAATTCTTAATTAATAGCTTCACTATTGTTAGCCTAACTTT